CCATACACATAGTTCTACTTACTACATTTAAATAAGGGTTAAAACATCTCAGTTAGTTGCATCACTTCATATTTTGAAAAACCGTTCTACATTAATTTTCACCTTTACTAACTACTTAATGTTAACTAAATGTAGAACATGCTGTTGCTATCAATCTAATTCATTTAAATTTTCCAGATCTTCAACATTATAAAGAGTTCATCATATGTACCTCACTGTTATTGTGTGTGTGTCATATCCATGTTTGTGTGTGAGTGTGTACTAGTGCGTCTGTGAAATGTGGCATTTGTAATATGATGCAGTGAAGCAGGAATTTGTGTGTGTGTTTGTCTTCATTGTGTCATGAACAAACTGGTACATGCGGTTGTGTGAATTTCACAATACTTTTTCGATCATTTCATTTAAACCGTTCGGACGACCTATACAGATGTATGAAATCAGGTAACGGAGAAGAGGAAAACAAACGTGCCAGTGTAGAGCATAACATCTCACATGCACTTGAATCTGCATAAATGTCAATGAACTCAATTTACAGACAGTGTCATTCGATCAGCGATAATGACTCATTTACATACTCAATCACTCACACAGCAAGAGAATCACACTTGTACTCCTCAGTCAATAATGAAATAATTTTCAAGCATATTCGAAAGACTAAATCTACACATGTCAAGTAGTGGGAACGTTTCCACTTCCGTTACTTTATAAAACCAATTTCAACATGAAAGGACAGACTTATCAAAGACGTTTATTTTCTTGAACAATTTGATCTACTTCTACTTCACTCAACTGTTCTTATTAACCCTAATGAATATTCAATGAAAACATACATTTGACCGACAGTAAAACGTATATATATTCAGAACAATGGGCTACGGTGAGTTTACCTGCAAAGTCTCCTGGTTTGTGTCGTGAAAACAAGAGTTGCGTGAAAATCACGTGATAATGAATGAATGACAGAACACGTGATTGACAGTATTCTATAGGTACGCAATTGCTGGACAATGATGACACAAGAATATCTCTGTCCTGCCATAGTTCATTTGTCATTTGAATATCGCAACAGTTACTCTTCATTGTTCAAAATTGAGTGATATGAGTTTGTATGACACAGGCAGCATTGGTTTTTACGGAAGTAAGAGTAAATCTCACTGATTTATACTAACTCTCTTCAAGAACTCCTGCCGAAAGACTAGAAACATCGAAAATCAATCAAAGTATCTCCTCGTAAACATCAACTACGTATACAATTTTGAAATAGTGGATGCTGACATAGGCGGCAGGCTATATAAATCTTCATCTACCATTGTTCACTTATGTAGAAACTCATTTTGATTCTGCTGCAAAATTAAGAAGAATTTCATTACCAAATATATTTCAAGACGTATTCTATGTTCTGCGAAATTCGATCACTAACATCTCACGATGATATCCGACTTAAATCAATACTTAACACAAACGTACATTTGGTCAACAGTCATATTCGTCTATACAGAATATCGGGTATAAATCAATTTATCTGTCACACTGAATGATATAAAACGATACACAGAACGTCATGAGGATTATGTGATCAATTATCTTGATGACGGTATCATAGAACATATTCATGAGACGTATTAACTAGTCGAGTCTAAAATCATCGAAATTATTACTGATAGTTCCATAGATTTATGAACTGCGGACGTACAAAATAGACAATTCTATAAGAACGCTTTCACTAAACTCATTTGAACGACAACCTACTCGTTTTCACTTGAATCTCTCTTTTAAAAAATAGTACTCATCTGCAAAATGGAAATTTCATTCAACTTTGTTTCGCGAGCGTAGATGACAGTCTGTCATATAAAAGCATCATTAGTAAACGACATTCCTTATTATATTCAAGATTTATATCAAGCACGTTACACAAAAGAGAAAATCATGTAATTTTGATTATTTAGATAGAATATAATGATAAACAACATAGAAGTACATACATTGATGTTTCTACAAACAACAACTGAGGTCAACAGACTGACGCCACTTTTAAATCACACTCTCCGATAGTGTACACTAATAATATCATCATTAATTTTATTTTTAGAAGGATATTTCTTGAGTGTAAAGGCATATTAGAATAAATGTATCGAAATAGTAGATGTGATGATGATATGTGATATAGAGATACATATTCCTCACTGAATCGTACAGGTTCAATAGAATTTCAAGAGTACATATGAAGCACGTGTTGTGTTCCAGTCGAATTATTACTGTTCATACATGATAGTATGATCGTGATGGACAGTGTTATCTCGCAAATCACCTGAGCTATATGTTTCAGCCGTCGAACAGATTATGGTGTCGAGTAAAATTGAGATGTAGGAGGTGAGTGTTAAATATTTCAAAAGAGAGAATACAAAAAAATGTAAACAATTAAAACAGCGAACAATCAACGTCAGATAATATGGAACTTAAATCACCTATCGCTTTCTATCTGACAAATACTGTTTATCAAAGTCATTTGACATAGTTTTGAATCAATTCTTTTCAGCACATCACCATTTGTGCCTTCAGTGCATATACGGGTTGATATAAATTTAGGTGGTTCCAAGCATCTGTTGATCGTTGAAAATTCGCTGATTGAGTTGATCGCTAGCGAAAAATGTTCAAAATACGTTTCTAGATAATCTGGAATGTCTGTTTTCCGAAATCTCAGATGTCATAAGTAGGTAAGCAAATATGCAAGCAAATCATTCATACACTTGAACTTAATGAGTAGTGTTTTTTTATTCTTGTTCAGCTTGTTTATCTGGTTAATTCTGTTGCCCCATGATAAAATTATGAATAAGCGTAGATGAATTTCCCTTTATAAAGCTGACCATAGTAAAATTTGTAGGCTACAATGAACATTATAAGTCTGATAAAATCCCATTTATCCACACTTAATAGCCTGCACATTTTCGTTTTTTGTCGAGGACAATTGTATGTTCAACATTGAAATATTCACAAATTGGTAATAAGTAGAAGGAGTATATTAGTCTCCGTTGAAGATGTAATGAGGAAGAAAGAGATCACTTAAAGAAGAATAATCTTCTGCTGAATTAATGAAAAACACTGAAGTACACTTCATGAAATCGACAAGTTGTTGAAAGGACTTTTTGAGAAAACTTCATTCATTATGTAAACGAATGGTAGTGTTTAACATTCAAAATATGACGGTCATTTGTGCTGTCATCACAAAATCACATTGAAAAACTAACAGTATATTCTATCCAGATAAGGTGTTGTAGGATTCTTATACTTTTGCTTGTATACATGGATTCTAATGCATTAATGTCTCGTTCTAACAAAAGATATACAAGGAGAGACATATAAATGAAATGGGTGGTTAGTACTTGATAAGAGAACACCTGTCAGGATTTAGCTAGACATAAATGACTATCCACAACCCTTCTTATAATGATCTCAAAAGATTCTTCGCACTCCTTGCTAACTGCCTAGAGCACTCTTCGCAATACATCAAAGTTCCGTTTTTCCAATGCCTATGAATGGATAATGAACAAAAGTACGGAGTACAGTACAGACCAATAGGTTATATGCAAGAATTGAAAAGCTGTATTAGTTTACATCGCATAACGACAAAATCATGCAGTAAGTCATACTGTGTACTTGCAACATATTTCCTAATAACAATATATAAAATACACAAGTGGGCATAACGAGACATCACATCAAATAATTTATAATCTGACTCATACTCTTCCTGAGCACAATTACTGATTGACACTAAAACATACGCTGATATGTTTTCCTCTGGTAATTAGATCATGATGAACAACATGAAACGAGCAATGTATCATTGAACACAATTTTGATGTTGATCAATTCACGAAATTACTGCACAACTGTTTGTTCGACTAAAGACTGTAATACCTGAGTAATCGACACTTTGTCTAATGTCGAGATCTTTCTTAAATGAAACAATACACCTCTGTTGTACATAGAAAAAAGAACTGTTTGTATATATTACCCAGACATAAATATTCCTGAAACCTATTAACAGTCAGCCCTGTAATGTGATGGATAAATGGAATAGATGTGGCTTTGTTTACAAGTTGCCACTTCATATTAAACGACCTATGCAATCGTTTGACAGAATGTGTTCATTGAAATAAAATACAAATGTAAATGGGTAAGTTTCACATCGAATCAAAACAATTTGTGCTACTTTTATTTTAGCCAATCCAATCAAGATGGTGCACTATTAAATGTTAATTAACAGATTATTACAGACAACAAACTGTTTGTTCATGAACATATGAGCAGATCTTTTGAACTACAAGTTAACCAATCGTTGATTATAAATTAGTATTAATCACATCCATGATAGGTTTCATCAATAGGGTTCAGGAATTTCAAACAACTGTGGATACATTTCAGCTCATATTCTCAACAACCAGAAAAATATTGAATAAAGATGGGCTCATCTACGTCTATGATTGGTTAACAATGGACATACGATTTTACCACATATATTCATATTAATGGTCAGTTTGAATCATCGAATCAGTAGTAAACAACCTTACACTTCAAACATCTATATAAACCTGACACGTTCTATTCAAATATGACCTACTACTTTGAACAAGAAGATGAGGTGAGTGTTGACTGAACATACGAACTCAAATTGAAAATCGATGCAACGAGATTACGTTGTTTATTTCATCTGAACCATTTTAGACACAACATTTTATCTTCTCAATCGACGTCACTTTTTCTAATTATCATCTGCCTTGCCGAGTTCTTTGAATGCCAGGATGTCTGTAAACAACCTGGATGGACGACTTCGGGAAAAGTAATTTTTGAAAATAGTTCTTATCGATATGTAAGTAATCAGTTTGATCGTTATACACATACTCAGTCTCAACATTATATGTATTTACAAAGCATCAGTATTAACCAGCCTCAGCCATCTGTGACTACAAGTTTGGATAAATACACAGATCCTTTGGTGAGTTGAATACATTTTGTGATGGACGTACTTGTCCCTGTGTTTACGTCTTTTTAGAATGTTGGACCAGAACTGTCGTTTAAATATTACAGTAGTCAGGTTAAAAAGTTCGATATTTTCCCTCCTGGTAAGTCAGTAATTTTCTTTGACCTCGAATTATAAATCCATTTTCTTGATAACATTTTTGTCCATGAATCCAACCAAGTTGATTCCATTTCTTTATTGAATTAGTTTTATACTCCTTGAGACATGCAATAATTCTTTGGATATTCTTTCTTCTTCAAATTGTGTTGATAATGTGATGCTTTATAGAAATCCAGATGCAGTTCATTCATGCAATTCATTTAAGTCTTTAGTTTACTTCATTCAATGTTAAATGATCAATCATGTTTCATGTTTTCAATAAATAAATACAGGTGGCATAGATATACGCGGAGAACACTACATCGGATATATTGAAGCTTTTAATGCAAAGAGTATAAGTTCTGAATTTGCGATTTTGAATAAGAGTGAGTTTTTGTATTATTCAGTTATAATTTGTTTCATTACTTATTCCCACACTTAACTTTGCACACATTATTCTCTATTTCACTTGATTATTACACAAGAGCTTATCAACACACGATGATCGTTTTGTTTGTTTGGTTGTCGTACCAGAACATGTGTGTTTCACAACACATTTTGATTACCATCATGTGAAAATATTAAACAAAACAGAGATTCACCTCAACATACAAACACATTGGAAGAGTAGAAATGATAAAACAAGTGATGTTATTGTACGAGTGCTAATTACCAACTCTATAGTCTATCAAGATTACAAGATAGCAGATATCGACATCGACACGATACGTCTTTGTAGACTAAATTAACCGGACTTATCACATGTGCGAGAATAAGCGATGTTGTGACAGACGTCATTTTAAATTATTGAAATCTATGAACTATCAAGTCATATCTCATGTCTTCCAATACTTTTCTGGCATTTACTGTTTGCTTTTGCATTTGCTGTTTGTTTACCATCGAGTTTTGGACTCTATCTTTGCAATCACATTCTTACTATTACCAAATTTCAATACAGGCACTTCATGAAACGGCTGAGCAATGAAAGATTAATAATATTCTGTTATCATAAGATGGTTAACTCAAACTAGAACACCTTGAACATCAAGGTTGAAAACATCCGTTTTTGGTCAGTTATCAGAATTGATTAACATCCGAATCTCAGAAAATGTTATATGTGTATTGTCAGTTAGATATTAATAGTCTGTACCACAGTCTAAATCTCCTAGAACAGATGATACGGAAGTAAAATATACTTCTAAGTTGGATGAACTGAGACATTTATCATACGGATGAAGGTGATAATATTTCTTGAACTTTCCTCATGAGAGGTAGTTGAGTATTTGACTACGTCGGTTCAATGAATCTCAGAATGAAGATCATAACTTGCATGCAGATGTAGTCCATGTTTAAACTTTCATTTATTGAATGTGATAGTTATTCATTATGCAGATATTTAAACATCCATTTCTATTTTCATTATTTCAGAGGAATTATTTGCTGTCAAATGGTTTATGAATAAAGAAGTTGATGGTAAACGTAAGTCAACACATGTGGAATCTAAACACTTACATCTTCATTCGAAATGATTATTCATAGTTTGTCAGATTCAATTTTTGTCAGAAACTGAAAATGTAGAAGTTTGTCACTTTTCAGAGAAATGAGGGTCGCATGATGACGCTGAATAAGATTTGAAGAATAGTTGATGTGATCTGGAAATGACTAAGGTTGATGAGTAAAATACAGATCACTATGGTGGATAAATCAGGTCACAATCTTATTTCATTTGTGTGAAAACGAATTCACAGATTCTTTGACATTTACAGGCTTGAATTGAATTTGATGAACAGTTTCAGTTTCAAAATACATACATTGTGTTGTATGCTGGTCACAAAGCCAGTTCTGTACACAACACATTCATCTACCCATCCATTAATCTCATAGTCATTTCTAAATATTATCCACCCAAATATTTAAAAAATATCCGTAATACCATCTATCTAGGGCTGTTCGTTTCTTATCTACAACAAATAAACACTATGGTCGTATTCAGTTGATCGATTGAAATATCACGTAACCATGTAACCAATTAAATCTCCAAGTTCAATTTGTAAGCAAACAATACAAACCTTATGTCATGTGTACTCAGTCTCGATTGTTTTATCAGGCATTCAAGAATGTATACCGCATACATATGAATACTTCATTGATCATCGGATCTTAATGCAATAATTACCGATTTATTGTTTCAGTAATAATACAATAGTAATACAACATTAGGCATTTGTTATTCGTTTAGTAGGATGCACGCTTCTTTCATTCTCATGACGTGCACTTGGAATTATTTACCGTGAAGTCAACTGAAGAAAATATTTGACATAACACAGTAACTACTCACTGAAACATGGTCACTTTATGAACTGATATATACTATGCCACATCTGCCGATAAACTGGTCATTGTTTTCACCCAAGCTCTAAATATCGATGGTTTTCTAATTGTAGAGTTTACAGCCGAGGTAACTTGCCTAATACATCCAAATGGGAAGATAGTTTTGTATTATGATAAAGTAAGTTGAACAATTGAATGCAAATGTAGTTTTATTTCAAGTACTTCAGATTACTCAACTATTTCATGTTTATGAATACTGTCAAATATATAACTAGTTACATTGAACACGAAACAAATGTAGCAACATTCTGTAAAGTGCAAACGGAATATTTGACACTATTATTCAACCTTTGATGACACAACTTATTCAACCATTTGTTCGAGACTGTGAATAATTAGAAGTGAATCACCTCACTTTCATTTAGGAGGTTGTGTGTTGAGAGATGTTGACTCAAACTATCAACATTTTCTTCCAGGTTCCAAGGGAAATTAAAGAAATTGAATGGATACCGAAAATTGCATGTGGAGGGAGTAAGAAACATTTCAATAAATGTTGTCAGCACATTGATGTCAGGTTACTCGTATCATCAGTTTTCTGTTTGTGTTATATTATTTTCTGTTTTTACTCTGGTTATCAGCACGTCAACATAGAACATTCCTTTATTCCATCACAGTGATCTAATTTAGTCTCGTTACAGTTTGAGTTTAGGATTTGATTGGCTTGTAAAATCAACTGATATAAATGTGATTGAAGAGTTTTGGATAATTGTGCAAAATGAAGTTGATATGCGTCTTGTAAAAGCACTGTTCAAATGTTATTGAATTGTGAACATTCAACGTGAGATCGATGTTCACACTCCTTGTAGGACAATTGCAGTGTCACACTGATCGTGACTGTCAGTGTAAGTGTTTGATATTTGCGACTAGGGTTTTCGAACATAGGACCACTATTATAAAATGAATTGAAATCCAAGTTCATATGTATTCAAATCAACAACTATCATACTTGATGGTGCCACAGAAATGATTCAGAGTGAGATCGGTATGGTGTTGTTTCAGCTTTCTGTGATGAATTTCACCGATAATAGATTTCACTCTCCACATATGCTTATACTCACTTAACCAGATATCTTGAGTAGAGCAACTAAGTTGTATGAATGTATTTATCCCTAAAGTGTGGATGGCTATTTTGATGCGGCTCAGTCTTGTGGTTACCGATTGACGCATTCGGATGGGAACATATGAATGACGAGATTAAAGAATTTATATTCGCACTCGTTTATTATTTAACTTACAGTACACAAGTCACACTTTTAGTCCTCAATCTTCACTCAAAAAGAAGTGTGCTTTGTATGAAACAGAATTAAACGAATGGTACTGGTTGGACATTGATCGATTTTGATGTACTTTAATAAGTTTTGGGCATTCTAGATAATCAGCAACTTATCTTATATGAAGCAATACCCAGTCCCTTGTTTAGACCACGAATTAGATGGTGCAAATAACCTGTTGTATTTATAGACGAATACAAAATTCTAAGTGTCTTTTCTTGTTCACTCTATCACACATGATAAAATAGCACCTGTGATAATTACTCCTGAAACATGGATCAATAGTGGCACGATGGTGGAATATGAATTCATTGGAGGTATGTTATAACTAATTTGATCAGTAATAACTATCTTCACACTTGAAAACATCCTTTTTTTACTTCAACGATTTGAATATTCCATGTATAATCTTATTTAACCACCAAATGATATTGAGCTATCTATCCTCAATGACGTCTCACTTACCATTAATAACTACACATCGATTCTTTTGTTGAATGATGAAAAGGATTCAAAATCCAATTTGAATCAATAGTGAAGTCTTCACTTTGATCAATAAGTGACTTGACCACAAAGCAACAAAACGATATATGAGATGATGTTAGTTTTCAATGAAATTGAGTGTCCGTGTGTGTATTGCGCGTTGACAAGAAAGTGTCCGTATTTTCTATTGGTACATGCTTCGTAAACGACTGCCTGTTTTCTGAAACTTTTGCTTTGTCATACATATACGATAAATTGTAGGTATGGATAAGTCACGTCTCCAAAATACAATTTATCATAACCAGTTTAAGAATTATTTCCACATTATGAAAATGTGTACCTTCTCATGAATATGTACATTGAGTTAGTATAAATAGATATTAGTTCACCATGTTCAAGTCTACTGAAATAATATTTTTAGTAGTGAGAGAATCATTCCATGATATAATAATCAGATTGCCGTCAATATTCTTCGAATGAGATACTCCTTTCATCATCAATAAATCTTTACCGGTCCAACTAGTTTCATAGATTAACTGATAGCACGAAGCACAGAATGCAGTTTCATACTTTGATATCATCCATCACAATAGGTCGACTGAAATCTCTTCAAGAATATCATCATTGATCATTATACTAACAATGTCAGACTCCGATTGTCGTTTGACTAGATCAACATAAATGAAACTCGATTTCACGTCTGAAAACAACTGAATTTCTTGAACTAAGTGCATTCATAAAACTGATATCATCTAAAGAAACTTTACAACAATGAAAAATTCATTGTAATGTGCCCTGTTGAGTCCACTGACAGCTTCGTGCATACATGTCTGAATGTAAACAGCCATTGAAATCCATCGTTTATACTTGACATTCAACATAGTTTCATTCAATTCAAACATGATGTCGCGAAACATGATTGAAATTGATGGCGCACTGAATATTGCATTATGCATCGTAGTGACAATTTTCCAGTGAGTGAAATTGTCACTTAACGCCGGAATCAGCATTAGATCATTGGGTTATTGTTACATGTTATGTATTTCACTTACCTTTTGCTTTGTCACTTGAGATTAAATCATCTCATTCTTTTCACAGACTATTGTCCAAAATACAGTTCACCTGAAGCATGCCAAAACGCAACAACATTGGATATAACTTGTTTTTGGTGTGATAAAGCGAAGCTATGCATTGATAGTACTGACCAGGATGCTCATCACATGAAAGTTAATAAGTGCCGTGTCAAGGTTAGTACTTCTTATTCTTCACAGGTCATTTTCAATATTTAAAAATTACACATTTCGCGTACATCCATTCACCCAAAGGAATATACCCTCAATGGCTAAAGTAAACTTTTGTATACATTGGCGTCAACTAATCTCATATGAGTACCATGCTTTCTTTCCATGGAATGAGTAAACAATGGATGGAAGTGATCATTGTCACTAATGCTCGAAAAAGCAATGATATTTCAGCTCATTGAAAGTGTGGTTATTTTAGAAACCGCATATCTATGTGGATTGTCGCAAAATACCGATGAAAACAGTTTCATTGAAGAAGTGTAACCTGTTGGAAATAGTATGTCATGTTTTGATAATTAGTGGGAGTAGACTCCATTGTTGATGTTCAGAACAAGGATTTCTGACTCTCTGCTAAGTAATGTGTAACCTAGATACACTACTTTAATTAAAAGGTCAGTATTAAGTTTATTGGTTTTTATTCGGATTGTGATTAGATGCGACATTCAGAACACAAATTTCATCACACAATTTAGTCGTCTATTGGTTTCAGAATGGCGTGTACTCAGCATACAGACTGTCAAATCGGTAGTAGATACTCTAAATGATTGTATGAATGCAAATTGAGTGCTGAGAAATGTGCATGATGATTACTGAATTAATTGACATTTGGTAATCAATGCTTTTGTTTTGTTTATTAAGCATAACCCAGAAGTGAACGAATTGAGTACACAAACACCCACTAAACACACTGAAACAACATCGAGCGCTGGTGAATTTCCAGTTACAGAAAGCCCCAAGGAAACTACAGAAGAAACTAATCAACAATCGGTAAATATTTGATATTTAGTAATAAATGCTGTTATTTTGTTTTTCTTCAGAACATGACTAGTGCACTACCATCAATGACTAAATTAAAGTACACATGAGTGTCATGCTTTCTTTCCATGGAATGAGTAAACAATGGATGGAAGTGATCATTGTCACTAATACTCGAAAAAAGTAATGATATTTCAGCTCATTGAAAGTGCGGTTATTTTATAAACCGCATATCTATGTGGATTATCGTAAAATACTAATGAAAACAGTTTAATTGAAGAAGTGTAACCTGTTGGAAATAGTATGTCATGTTTTGATAATTAGTGGGAGTAGACTCCATTGTTGATGTTCAGAACAAGGATTTCTGACTCTCTGCTAAGTAATGTGTAACCTAGATACACTACTTTAATTAAAAAGTCAGTATTAAGTTTATTGGTTTTTATTCGGATTGTGATTAGATGCGACATTCAGAACACAAATTTCATCACACAATTTAGTCGTCTATTGGTTTCAGAATGGCGTGTACTCAGCATACAGACTGTCAAATCGGTAGTAGATACTCTAAATGATTGTATGAATGCAAATTGAGTGCTGAGAAATGTGCATAATGATTACTGAATTAATTGACATTTGGTAATCAATGCTTTTGTTTTGTTTATTAAGCATAACCCAGAAGTGAACGAGTTGAGTACAAAAACACCCACCAAACACATTGAAAAAACATCGAGCGCTGGTGAATTTCCGGTTACAGAAAGCCCCAAGGAAACTACAGAAGAAACTGATCAACACTCGGTAAATATTTGATATTTAGTAATAAATGCTGATATTTTGTTTTTCTTCAGAACACGACTACTGAAGAGAATGTACAGAAGAAATCACTATGGTACTTGTATATCGTGATTCCTTTAGTCATCATTTTCTTTGTTGTCTGTGTTGGTTTAATAATTTGGAGATGGCTACATCAAAGAAAGTGAAGTAAAGGATGATTCTCACAAATGTCTTATAACTTTGTTTGATTATTCCAAATTGTCTCCATGTAGTACTTCTTTAGAACACTTTCCATATCATTATTCATTTCAATAGTTTTGACCATTTCTTTATGGAATTATGTATATTCTTATGATTGTTTACGTAACAACTTATGTAATCTTGTTGACAAAATATAGAAACTGGATTTGCACTATTTGCGTTATTGTCATCATTGAATAGAAACTGTGTAGCGTTAATTAAATTCCCCAAATAAATAGCTCAACAACCCCTGCAACCGCTAGCCAGATTAGATCCAACGACCTTCGATATATTGATAGCCTTTCAAACATATCTTCGAACTTCCTCGCTTCTGACTTTTGATTTCACTTGGTGGGTACGATTCATAATAGAAGGTCTTACTGATTAAGGCGTTGTCAAACTCCAACTACTTGTGGCATCTGCAACTGACTTGTTTCGCGAGAGTTTGATAACATTTTGTTTTCAAATCAGTAGTATTGTGTAAACGTGATTTTATGATCATTGCAATCAATAATGAGTCCGTTGTGAATGTTTATTTCCAATAAAATCTCACTACTGAAGAATATCATTCGGAATAAACTACAGCCATTGTTTTATACTGAGCGACCATAATAGCTTATGAATACAAATATAGGCACTTTTATTTTTCGTTACTTGATTACCTAACGTTCAGTAAAAGTTAGGCGACAAACTATTGTTACCTCGATGTTCTCAAGACTGCTTATGATTCCTTCCATGATTTTGTTGTTGTCACGGGTGTTATATGACCAATTATTTCATTCAAAGCTTGGTCTATAGATAGGCCTAAACTGGTGTTGTCATAATCAGCTTCACACAAGACTCTGGTGTTTTGATTAAAGAATTGACAACTGCGTGTGATAAGTGCTGTGAAAAGACAATAATTCAGCGTGGCACATTGATTCCCAGTTTTAATGGGCACATTTACATCACAGTTGGCGCTGATGATTTTTTTTATTCGACGTCATTGTTGTGAAGTAAGCAACGTTGCTCATTTAAAGATAATTATCTACGGTTTACCATTGATAAACTTTTATCATTTTTGACAAGGATCGCCAGTGTTTATCATCTGTTGAAACACACCTACTTAATATTAGGTTTAGGTCGATCTCCAGTCAGATTTCAGGAAGGATTGAAGAGCCTTGTCACTGAAATTTTAGGTGTTGCTGTCTGTCAGCATGATTTTTGTTCTTGTGATCAGCAATAAATATCGTTTGATCAGAGACTTACTTATATCCTCCGTCATCTGCTTGAGATAAGATATGCCGATAGTCCGAGTTGATGTTCATTTTGTGTATTTGGTTTCGAGGATTTTGTTGTCGGTTGTGATTTCAAACTTGATATAATGCGACTATCTCAACTTGTAGGTGAACGGACGCCGTAAATTCCTTAGTACATTCACTAAAAATTCCCGAAAGTGATTTTGTACTTTAAATTTCCTCACCTACCGTACACTTCGTATTTATTACCTTGACCTTTGGTGTGATTTCAAGACAATAATCAATACTTTAGATGTATAACAAAGCGTATCTGAAACCTGGGTGGCCGGTGGTTTTCAAGCGCCACTGATTGTCCATAAGTTATGAAATTTTGGCCTAAATAATCATGCCGTTATTCCATTTTGTGATATATACTTGCTATTAATAATCTCCATACAGGACCGCGAAAGTACTTATCAGTGTTTTTCACGTGTTGCTTGTTAGTGTTTCAAATTCCATAATTTGTGACCAACACACGCAAACCCTCACTGTGAATTCATACAAAATCACAGAGAACTGAATGTTACCAACAGATAAGCGGCAGATATCTCTGTGTACGAAATGATGCACAGTTCTTGCCAATCGTCGGTTTTCTCTAAATGCCAAATACCCTTCAACCACTGTTAATTTGCAGTAGAGTTTTTTTCCTTCTTTATGTAATCAATTATCAAAACGATAATGAAATCAATTTTGCTTTTAAACTAAGTATTGAATAACAATGAATACCACCAACTAAATTGGTCATGAGAACTAAGCGTAACTCTTTTCATGAAAATTTAATTTGGATGCATACACATTTTTATGGTTCATGGGGATCTATCACTTTGAGCGGAAACAAGTTGAATTCGAATGAGCCAAATGTACGCCGCAAATACTTTTCTGTTGAAGCCAGTGTCAACATTGTTATCATGTTTTCATTAAATGAAAAATAGCTTCATTTATATTAAGTCTAACTAATCTTATTGTCAGTAGGTATTCGGTTCATATCAATGCCTTAGGGTTATAACAATTTGCTATAGGAGATTGTCCCAGTCTTGTAGACGATTATTGGAGTTCTGATGCACGTCCTATCTTAGATTTTCAATAATAAAATGAATCAATTTTGACTGCGATAATTCATTTCATTCCTGTTAACGTCATGTCACTGACATTTACAGACTGACGATTAATAAAACTTAACAGTAATAAATCAGTTTTTCAGAACTAGCGAGATATAATAAATAAATACACGCATAGAGAAGAGCAAAACATTGGTCGATTCACCTATTTGTTGGGCCATCTTTATCTGCAGACACTAGATGACCTGTCGAAAAAAAACCGTCAGAATCAAATACATGGAGCTCATTTGCCTGTTTGCCATAACCCTGATGTGAGTAGATGAGATGCATAGATTTAGGGAAATCCATGGTTCTTCTACCGCTATACCCCGTCTAGACCGAAGTATGAAACGATCTCTTATCTAATCCAAACTATTCGCTAGTCGCATTTAAATTACATAACATCCATACATACGTTATTAGCTAGTTGCTTCGTTTTCAAACTTATTACGTTTTAAAGTAGACTCACTTCTAAACTGAATTTTGGCACAAATAATCATGGTCTTATTACACAATACACTTTCTGTAATATTCGCCAACTGATTATGCCTTTCTTTAGTTCCAAACTCAAAATATAATATTCAGGCGTACTATCCATGACAGAGATAAAACTGGAGGTTAATGTTTGATGTACGTTCACGATTAATTCACAACTAGGAGTGTGAAATAGTGTTCCTGGCAGCCCAATTGAATATGTCTAATAATAAACAAACATTTTAAACTCAGATTGCAACACCGAGTTTTAGAGCAACAGTCTCGTGATTGCTGACGACATATTTTACCGAATCACTTGTTTGTATACTGGAAATCATTAGCTCCATTGAAGACATATAAAACCATCACGTCTGACGAATTATTCAAAACAGTTAAGTATCATAATTACTAATGACACCCACATAAACTCTAATATAAAATGAATAAACACACATAAGCTACATAACGAATCCAAGGTTTATTCAAATCAGATAATCTCATAGGTGTTAGGCATTATTCGCCAAATAAAAGTTACTCGAAATTGCGAAATCAACTTATACTACTTGGTCGACAATTTTGAAGCACCTAAAAATACAGGTATCACCAGACGTTTGAGTAATGACTGTGATGCTATCTCAAAACTTGTCAGTGTTATTTATGTTGGTGATTCCAGAAGCTTGACTGCATCCACTTATACATTTCGACATGACATCTGAATTCACATGCTTTTGTAAGGAAATTTGATGAAAATCAAATATTCGAGTCGTAAACCACAAATCGTCTTATCGGTTCACACTGAATAAATGACGTTTTTTCCTTGATCAATATTGAATGTTTCATTTTATTTACGAGGTGATGTTTCTCTGCATCCGTATATCCTTAAATCATAACGTGCAACACTATTTGCAAACTCTAACAACTTTATGACTGAAATGAAGGTCAATGATACATAAAAATCGATTCGATGGCGAACGCTCATTTTTGCTTACATGTTTTGATCCACTGGCAGTGGATCACGAAACAATGACAAGATAAACGATGAAAGACAACAGGACTTTCGATGGAAGACTTCAGTTCACAAATCATGCTGAGCAAGGAAATGTAAATATTTACAACATATTCAGTGCAATTATAGTGGGTGAACTCAATACAATGGTTAGAATTATAATGTTTCAAGAGTCGATTATACTGTTATATCTTCTTCACAGGGAACAATTCATCATAGTACGGAAATAATTGGCAAAGAACCAAAGACCATGACACCACCTGTAACATGAACAGACACGATAAGAGATTTCAAGTTCATTGGCCGAAGTACTTTACTTCGTACCAGTGTTTATAATGACATGGCACTGTTGATTAAATTCAGATGAACTACATTTTAAAGCACTTGAAACTGGACTTAAGGAAAGAATAAAATCTATCACCAAAACATATTGGAGTTTTCTGAGGCAGTAGATTTTATTCAGTCTATTACATAACTGTTTGTAACAGAGTATATCAAACGTTCACTAATTCACAGGTATATGAACTCCATCTTTGGATGCTAGTGTGTATATTTCTTAAGAGCTCAAAATCCTTTTTACGTTCTGTGCATACTTATACGATTATTATTATAATCACATTGAAGTATGGAAACTATTTCAATGAACTGATAAAACATGCTGTAAATATAGTTTAAAGAAATAGCAGACATTGAACATTAGTTGTCATGTCCTGTGTAGTTGAGTGGAGAGAACGTATTTAAGTCTTGTACTTCTTAATCAGCCTTCAGAATCTCTTTAATGGTTATCAATTATCACTAACTGTAACGTACACGTTTTGGTCTCTTCACTTAAATCATTTTACCATTCACAGTTTGATCATATTTGTGGCATATGACAACAGTCAATCTGTCAGTCAGTAACAACTTAGAACTTCGTACGTACGTACATCAGTTAGCGTTGCCAAACCACATTATCACTGACATGCAGTTGTCGATTCAAATCCCTTAGTGGTAGAGGTTCTAAGAGTATAAGCGGTAATCGGGAAGATTAGGGCTTGGAAACGTTATTTAAAGAGTATAATACAGTGAAATAAATTTGGGAAGAGAAAAAAGAGACAAGGAGGAATCAGGAG